TTAATATATTATGTGGTACCTTATCGAACGCCTTTTGGAAATCTAAATATATTACATCTACCACATTACCCTTGTCTACTCTTTCTGTTAAAGAATTTAATCAGGTTGGTCAAGCATAACCTTCCTTTTTGAAATCCATGCTAACTATTTTTTATTATGTTTTCCGTTTCTAGATGTTTTTTTATTACCAATTCTATTCTATTATTCTATTGCATTTATTATGCTAATGACCCAAATTCTCTCTTCACTTATTGAATTGATGGTAGCTATACCTCATTCACATAGTCATTCGCCCATTGCAAGTGTTTTCTCAGTGGGTTCGCCCTGTATGTTTCGCGGAACACGGAATGTTGTATGTTGGTAATCTGTCCTGCTCGTTTGCTGCATCTACCATTATCTTATACTTACAATCTAGTAGAAATAAATTCCCAAGTACTACATCAATGTCGACGAGCCCTGCATTGGGTGCCAAGTGCCATGGTTCTCACTCCTTGATGTATGTGCAAATTTTATTAATGCTTTAATACTAAGTGGCCTCTGCTTCTCTCCAATCCCTGTCAGTGTGTAAGTCCCTATTTCAAAGGTGACTGAACCAAGTCAGACTTAAACATAGACAGACAGGTATTCCCAGTTAACCCCAATGCTTACTCCTTATCGAGAATACTACAGAGACTCGAGGTTATATTCAATAAAAACAACAGCTCTTTAATTAAAACCTACCAACCCTCGGCTCCCCTGTATATAAGGAACACACCAATAACAGATAAACAACAATGCAATCAAACATTATCGCACATAACTATAACAACTGGCGGCACAATACTACATTAGTAAAGAAATATAAAACCAGCCCTGACTGTACAGTTGTCCTGTACACATCAGTACCAGATGATGACCATCAGTTAGCAACCACGAGGAGCACCGAGCATTGCCTTATGTAGATGTGTGGCTCAGTCCATCGTATGATGCGAATGCGAGGGTTTTTCCCACGTTAGCGCCCATGTGTTATTTTACGCTACAGCTGCTTGTTAGCTGACTGTCCATCAAGCAGCCCTGGATCTATACGTAGTTGCAAACTAGTGCAGGCTGCTTACTAACTCTGTGCTGCCAGCAGCTTCTGCAACTGAAATATTACCGAACTCATTTAAAGGGGCAAGCCTCCTCATTTCCCTTAAATAATATTATATAGTTACGTATATGTATTATTTACACTTTATAAAGGACTGCAAGAATAGGGTAACTGTGTCAAAATTAAGAACAGCTGTGGGTAAAACACTTGAAGTCTAGGTTGCGCACTGGTTCAGTGAGTCTAATGAATAGAGCAGGGAAGGTTGAGGAGGTCAGAGACGCAGGATAGAAGGCGTTAATGGGAGCCAATGAGTACGGCTTCCGTCTTGTCAACGTTGAGTTGTAGGAAGTTTTCGGTCATCCAGGCCGTCATGTCCGCCGGACAAGCCGAGATAACATCAGCGGATCTGGAGTTGCAACCAGAGGAGGAGAAGTAGATTTGTACGGAATCCGCATATGTGTGGAAGTTTACCAAAGTCTATGGATGACATCGCCAAGGAGGAGCATGTAGATGAGGAGGGGCCAAGGATGGAACCTTGGGATTCACTATAGGTAATGGGCAGGGGAGGGAGGAGAAGCTGTTTGAGGAGATAAAGTGAACGAAGTTTGTTAGGTAGGACTCAATCAAGGATGGAATGGTCGTCTGTGTTGAAAGCAGTGGAGAGGTCCAGGAGTTTGAGGAGGCAGAAGGAGCCCTACTCACAGAGAGTGAGGACGTCGTGTGTGACCTTGACAAATGTTGTCTCTGTGCTGTGGGCAGGGCAAAAAACAGACTGCAGCGGCTCATGGAGGGAGGTTATGACCTACGTTCCAGGAGATTTAGTGTGGAGAGGAGGGCAGTGAAATCAGAGGAGATGGGGCAAAGGGAGTTTAGGTGAAGTTTGAAATCACCCATTATGATCAGGTGTTCAGTGCAGAAATAGATGGATGAGAGGAGGGAGGAGATGTCAGGGATGAAGGAACCAGGCAGTTTAGGAGGACAATAAATGAGGAGGATTTTGAGTATTGATAATATTTATTGATCTTTGTATAAGGTTGGTGACATTTTGTAGAGTTGGCCACAATTAAACCTTTACTGGATCCAAATTTTACATTTGTTCCATATAATTTTGTTTAGGAAATGGCATATTTAGGTGGGTTTTTTTTTAAATTTCAGTGAGATGAATTTTAATCGAGAAATTCATTTTCTTATGTAACCAATAAGGAATAGGGCTTCTGCTTTCCAAAACGGCGAGAAGACAGTAGGAGGAAGCAGCAATAGTGGAGGCTTTAAAAGATTGTCTATTAAACAAGAAAATAAATCATGGTTAAAGTTTTGTTTGGTAAAGATCAAGTGTGGTTTGTGGAGAAAGGATTATGGATTTTTTAAAATATTAATGTTTGATTCTGTGTTAGTTACTTGTGATATTTTAAAATTAGTTTTGAAATAAGGACATTTTCCAGTGGACATCTTTCTTCAAAACATCTATTTTTATTTAGATTTTCAGGTACCCCTGAACCTTTCCCATCAGTTGAGGTGTGTTTGGGCCTTTTCTTCAAATAAGTTCTGATCTTATAAATTTTTGATGCAAATGTGTAGGAACCATACTTGAGGTTCTTTCTGGCATAACCACCTTTTACTTCCTGTGTTTCAAAAGATCCTGCAAAGGCCTTATGGGTCTGCAGTTAAAGGGAATATACATATTCCTACTTTTCACCCGAAAAGGGGCTTCTGCAAATATGAGGCATCATTGCGGTCAATGCTAAGATCCTTAATGCTATACATCCCTATAATGATGTATGACTTAGTAGAAATAAACAGTCTCATCTACATATTTCTACCTTCCATCCAGTTAAATATGAAGTAGATAAAGCTTGACTTAAGATATTTTTAACGTCCTCTCTCCATCTACTACAGTTCAAAGTTAATGTGAGTATGTTAACAGCTCTGGCTTCAAACATCTGAAGCTGAATCACTTGGACATTTTCACTTCAATCAACAGCCAGTGGACACCAAAAGGTAGAAAAGTCACATTGTTCAAATAAAACTGCTTCAAGTTCCTCTTATGGGGAAAATATTCTGAAAATCCTTTTATGTCTTGACCATTATGGACTGCTTCACTCCTGTTGATCTGTTCCTGATTTTTAAATGTGTGAACTATTGATACTGCGGGCCTTAGGCACCCAATGTACAGCCCACACTGGTACAGACACGCCCAATGTCAGGAACGTGTTTTTTATTTGCATACAGCGCAATCCAAAATCCCAAACCCACAGCACAAGACACATCTTGCAGGTAACTGAAAGAGAACGGAGAGAGGCACATACACAGTTTCAGGTACAAATAAAATGAAATACACATGTATACAAACACACTGGTTATATTGTTTTTTTNATAATAATAACAATCCTTGCATTTGATATAACTTGTTTGCATCTTCTAGACATTTCAAAGCACTTCACAGAATATATTGTAAAGTGAATTGACTGTATATTTGTTGGTGAAACGGGGCTGCCAATTATGCACCACAAACAGTTGTGGATTGAGTGACCAAATTATTATCATTTTTTTAAGGGAATATTACCCCCAGAAAAGTGATCCGCCAATCACGAACAATCGGGTTCCTATTTATTGCTAGGTAAACAGAAGTGTGTGGAGTAAGGAAACTTGCCCAAAGTTTTGTCCTACCCGAAAATCTAACCCAGGTCCTCTCAATGGCGAGGCAAGTTCTCTAACCACTGAGGTACAGAACTCCACAGGATACCCTGCAGTTGAATAACTGTATTTTGTGAGCAAACACAGCAATGTCAACCGAGAAGGAAATTATCAATTTTATTTGGGGGATTGTTGGTCATGTCAGATTAGTGTCAAATTAAATAATCCTGCAAAATGAGTGCAGACACCAGGCTCTCCACCACCCTGGAGATCAGATTGTGCAACCTCGCATTAGATACTTTTGAGTGTCTATTATCCACACTGTTGGTAGTGGTGTGGAAAACTAGTCCACATGCAAACTTTAATTGGTTCCAGTATGCAACAAAACAAATTCATCAGTTTTTCCTGATATAGCATTTTTCACCCTTGGAAGGTCCTCAGGGAGCTTGAGGTTTGGGGAACTCAGGAGTTGACAGGAAATGAGGAAGGTTATGGGTGGTGGGGAGTATAGGTGTCCAAAAGGGTGGTCGAAAAGAAAGATCTTAAGGCAAGCTTTTAAGGTAGGAAAGAAGGGATAAGCAGAGTGAATCCGGGATGAAGTTCCACAGAGTGGAGTAAGAATGGATGACAGCTTACCCACCGATGCTGGAGTAGATTCGGTGGTTGACATAAAGCAAACCAATATAAGCCAAGCGGAGGAATGGTAGGATTGTAGGAAATCACTGGGGTGGGGTGGCGTAAGGTCCTGGAGGATTCTGAATTTGATTTCACTGGAGGATAAGGTACCAGTAGATCTTTAGCAAGGGTGGGAGTGAAAAGCTTGTGTAGCCTGTTTTGGGAGAGGACATGAACTGCAGTCAGAAAATGTCATTGGTGAACTTGAGTAGAGCATTCTTGGGTGCTGTGGGCAAGGCAGAGATCGGATTGGTGGGGGGCTTGAGGAGAGAGTGCTGTGAAAGAACGATGATTTATTGCAGCACATTGGAAAGGAAGGACTGATTGGAGACAGGTCGGCAGCTGAAGAGCATACATGGATCAAGTTCTGACTTCTTTAGAACAGGAGTGACACAATAGCAGTTTCAAAAGGCGGGGGAATGAACCAGTGGAGTGGGAGATGTTGATGATGTCAGTTGGCAGGGGATCTAGGAAATGACACTTGATAGCCAAAAGCAAGTGGTCAAATCTTGCATTTGATATAGTGCCTTATCATGTTAAGATTTCTCAAAACTCTTCACGCAATATATTGTAAAGTGGATTGATTGTATATTTTTGTGGGCGAAAAAATAAAGCCAGTGGGTATACTTAAATTTTTGTTTTAATACTTGCCCACCACAATTTTGGGGGGAAAATTAACAAGAAAATAGAAAGCATTTTGTCACTTCATCATAAGAGATTGGTTGAGGCCCAGTTTTGGACGATATGAACATCTGCAAGCAAAGCTCATGAAATTATGGACACCAGTTTATCCGGCATTCAGTTGCAAAGGGTTCTTTTTCCTTTTCTCAACTATCACACAACTGTTTCTGTTTCCTTGTCTGTGGGCACAATGTAGGAACTCTTGGTGCCTGGTGCAGGACATCTGAAACTAGTGTCTGAAGTGGAACATAGCAGTGATTCTTTCTTGCATTTCCCAAACTGCTTCAAGTCATCAGATGGCTGGGTTAGCTGAAATATACGCTGCAGGAAAAAGACATATGCTGTTCTGTTTAACTAAAAAGATTACATCAACAAATGTGTATTAGTGCACAAAGTAAATCAATAATACAAGTTTATGACATTCATCTTGTACTTGGCTTAGTCCAATTGTTTTGAGCCACAGACTGGTGATTTAGCAACAGAGCTTTCCCTCATTCAAATCTGCCTTTCATAGATATCATCAGTCTGTTACTTTTGGTTGAAAGACTTGTTGTCACTCACTGTGGTACATGTAATAGTATGATCTGCACTAGCAGTGAATAAGAATACATGCCAGATGTCAGAAAACTGAAATAAACATATTGAAGGAATGATTAGATCCTGAATTGCACTGGAATGCTAACTCACCAGCAGCCAAATATGAGAGATGGAATTTTGGAAGGGCTGATCCTTTTCTAATTTACTTTCTCTTTTTGCATGTTTTTATTGGGCAGTTTTCAAGAAGACTCTGTTGCATTGAAAGTTGAACATGGATCGATTGCAACTTCCCACATTAGAATAGCAACTAGTCCATTTGAGGAAGTGCAATTCAAAGCCAATGCACTGAGCTTTACGCTGTCCTAAATGAAACAAATATTTTTGGTCCATCTTCCATTCTCTGGATGGGCAACCAGTCTGACAGACAACATATTTGCCATAGGATCTTCTGACAATTTGATATTTAACAATTTTATAAAATTGTATACAGGACATAATTTATATAATGCTCCATGACACTTGGATTATTAGAGACATTTTTCTAACTTAAAACACTTTCAAAGATATCACTGTTTGTGACAGACACATAGCTGACCAACCACAAGGTATCGACATTCTAAATTAGAAGCAAATCAGAAAGAAACGCGGTGCAGATATAAACCCATTACTCTGCCTCACTGACAGATATCTTTGCTACATTATACATAAGACATCAATAGGAGTTACCATTTTAAGTATACACACAAATCCTATACAGAACTGCACCTGTGAAATAATTTTTTAAAAACAGTGGTCGTGTGAGAAAATATAAAAATACACAAATTCAAGCTCTTTTGTCACTGAAATCCAACATATGTTGCAATCTATGCTCAAACTGAATACTGAATTTGTACAATACATTTCAATGGAGGAACATGTACACAAATGTTTGGACTCCAATATAGGAGGCATGTTTTCGAAATTCACAGATGACATTACACTGAGGGTAATGTTCTGGTCATCTTATTTCAAGATTGTGAAAAGGTGTCTGAGCCAACTATCTCAAATAAAATTGGTGGTTCACTGCATGGTTGTTTGCTGTTCAGAAATTGGCCATTGTGTTTGCCTACAAAATACCCAGTAATTTACAATATATCTTGTGAAATGCTTTAAAGTGTCCCCTCAACATGAAAGATGCAAGATCAAATGAAAGTATTTTTCTATTGTCTTTTATTGTTTGAGATTCAGCAATTGAAGGCCTGATAGACATTTTTTAAAATTAGGAAAAGTTTTGATAAGGTGTACATAAATATAAGTTAGCAACAAACATTTCTGAAAAAAGGAACTTTATATGGTGGGAATATTAAACTCATTGCTAGAAGCTGTGGTTGAAGAAGAAAGCATCAACATATTTTTGAGGAAGCTCACTGCAAATACCATGGGAAAGAAATTCGGATGAGTGGATGCTTGTGTGCAGTATAATAACCTGATAATGATCTAATTAGGCTAGATATCCTGTTTCAAAACTGTTAACTCTACGTACTTGATTAAGTTGGGCTGTATGATTTGGGTCTGTTCAGGTGGATGTTGAAGATCTAACATAAGAGAACCAGGAGGAGCAAAATTCCCTTACTTTTCTGTTAAAGACAGACAACAACTTCCATTTCTATAGTGCTGTTCATGCAGGACAGCCGTACAGTGGCAGAATTGAAGGCCAAGCATAGAAGGTGGAGATGACCTTAAGGGCCATTGAAGAGAAAGGTCTTAAAAGTGGTTTAAAGATAAGGGGGGGGGGAGCAGGATGGGTGGGGTGGGGAGGGTTGGTGGCTTGACTGAGATAGGGGTTGCTGGAGGTTAGGGCATAGTGGTTAAAGATTCAGCCACCAATGGTGGCACTTAGGTGTTAGCAGATGTGTCCGCTGAGTGAAGGGAGTGGGTGGAGAAGTGCGGGTGGGCAGGTTGGAGAGGTAGGGAGATGCATGGACGTCAACATGTGAGGATCTTGAGGTCAATCCTTTTGGATATAGAAAGCTAGTGGAGACTGGTGAGGACTGGGGTGATGGGTGTATGGAGTTTGGTGTGGGAGAGTTTTGGATAAGCTGGACCTTGTATGGTGGAAGATCAGCAAGACACTGGAGTTGTAGGGTGGTCAGAGGCACAAACAGTTTCACTTACAAATAACAAAGTCACAACACTTTACATTATATCCTTTGAAGCTCTTTGAGACACCTCCTAACATGAAAGGGACATCCTGTATGTGTTATTTCTTTATGTTTGTTTTTTATCAATAAAGTGAAAAAATATAGGCTGCCAGTTAAGATATGCCTCAACAGCATCAATCAAACCCCACAATTTTCCGTAAATGTTGTCAAATTTCCCCACAACTTTTGGCAAATATTTCCATATTTTCTATTGGTCCAGGATTACGAACTGCACTGAAATCTCGACTTCACTGAGCTCCTCTTTTCAAGGCATATCTATGGTGCAACCGAGACAGGGAACTTCACTCAACGCAAGTTTGGTGAAGAACACCTGAAAAAGCTGTCTGCTAACAATGTCCCCCACCCTGCCTGCCATCAGGCTCTCAGCCCCTCCAGCCTCACTCTTCGGAACTCCATCCCCAAGGCCCTCTGGCTTACCCTAAGGTCGTAGTTTAAGATGGTGGTAGCCAATGTTGCCAAATTGGGCAGGTTCATACCCAATTGGGGGCATGTTTTTGTTGTTTCACAGTTCATGAAACATTTTTAAATTTAAACCTGCAAAACACTTTTTTTTCCCTTTTAAGACCTTTTCTCACAGTTCGAATAACATCAACCTAAGTTGGCTGCTCTGTTACCCATATAAATACTAAAAGTTCTTGCATTTGATATAGCGCCTTATCACAATGTTGAAACATCTCAAAGCACTTCACAGAATTTATTGTGAAGTGGAGTGACTGTGTATTTTCTGGGTGAAACCATATAGCAGGCAAAGCATAACATCAGGTTGCTTTTGAGCTAGTGTTTGGCTGTCTTTCAGCTACGAACATATTTTTAATTTCTGGCCATCCAGGTCGTATCCTCGCTTCTCACTCCCTCCCTCACCTCCTTAAGGTGCATTTCAAAACCTACAATTTTTTTTGTAGATTTTAACCTTTCCCCTCCCACGCCAACTCCAGCTCAGGTGCCCGGTAAGTCATGTTATCGCTTAGTGAGAGGCTCTGTATCAATGTAAATCATGTTTGTATTTTATTTGTATTTAGTGGGGACCACAGCTGCAGTCCAGGATAACAAACAACAACATAGCGCCCTCCACGCAGGGTAGCGTAGCATCTCAGAAGGCGGAGCCTAACTCCGAGCCAAGGTGGGGGTGTGGGAGGTGACCATAAGCATGGCCAAATAGAAAGGTTTTCAAGCGGGGCTTGAAAAAGGGGAGAGAGGGGACAAGGCGGAGGGATTGAAGGAGAGTATTCCAGAGTTTTGGGGTGTAGTGGCTGAAAATGCAACCTCCAATGGTGGGGCAGATGGTGCAAAGGACGAGCAGATGGCGGTGCCAGTCAAGCGGTGTCACTGGTTGGTGGACTGGGGAGTGAAGAGGTCGGAGAAGTAGGGAGGTGCCAGAGAATGAAGAGATTTGAACACGTTTGTGAGGATCTTGAAGTCGATCCGTTCGGTGATGGGGAGCCAGTGTAGCCTGGCCAGAAATGATGAGATGTGGGTATGGAGTTTGGTCCGGGAGTAAGTGTGCGGGCAACACAGTTCTGGATGAGCTGGATCTTTAGAAAAGCAGAGCTGGGGAGATCAGTGAGGAATGTGTTTGAGTAATCCAGGCTGGAGGTGACAAACGCATGCATGAGGGTTTCGGCTGCATTTGAGATAAGGTACGGTGGGAATTGGGCAATGTGGTGGAGGTGGAAGCAGGCGGTCCTGTTCAGGGACTGGATGTGGGGGAGGAAGGACAGCTGGGGATCGAACCAGATACCTAGATTGCGGTGAGAATGAAGGAGAACCCAGGGAGGTTGAGGAATTCAGATCCGGAAGGGGGGAAGATGTTGATGGGAGCCAAGGAATATGGCTTCTGTCTTGTCCACATTCAGCTGCAGTAAGTTTACACTCATCCAGGCCCTGATGTCTGCCAAACAAGCTGATAGAACACTGGTGGACCTGGAGTTGGTACTGAAGGAGGCAAAGTAGATTTGTGTGTCGTCCGCATACATGTGGAAGTTTACCCCATCTCTGCAGGTGACATCACCCAGAGGGAGCATATAGATAAGGAGAAAAAGAGGGCCAAGGATGGAACCCTGGGGAATCCCGCAGGTGACTGGGCGGGGGCGGGAGGAGAAGCCATTTGCCAAGATGATATGCGGTTGGTAAAATAGGACTCGAACCATGCGAGTGTGGTCCCACTGAGGTGGATAAGGGAGGAGGTGGTGGAGGATGGTCAACTGTGTTGAATGCGGCAGAGAGATCCAGGAGGACGAGGAGGCAGAGGAAGCCCTGGTCACTGATAGAGAGGATGTTATTTGTGACTTTGCCAAGTACTTCTCTCTCTGTGGTGGGCAGGGTGAAAAACAAACTGCAGGGGCTTGAGGAGGGAATGGAGGGAGAGGTGGCAACCAAAGTTGGACTTGCAACAATGTATTCCAGGACTTTGGCAAGGAAGGGTAGGTTGGAAATGGGAAGGTAGTGTGAAGGTAGAGCGATCGAGGGTAGAGGGGTGTGATAACAAAGAAAACAACAGCAATATAAAGAATCAGAGTGACTGTGTAAGGTGCACTTGCAGTCGTGGGAAAGAGGCTTACCTGAAGCTGGTGAAGGTGTGACTCTGGCCACCATGTTCGCAAAGATCCGCAAACCCCGGCACCAACTGCTGTGCACACCCAAGAGATCAGTGTGCACCTGCACCATACATGCAAGTACACGCACAGATGATCCAATGCGCGGCTGAGTACCACTGGAGGGAGGTGATCACTGTGCACCAGAGCCTCACAAAAGGGAGGTGATCAGTGTGCACCTCCACCAGAGCCTAGTTGGATGGAGATCAACCCACAGTGATATCTCCTTGGGTCCATGAACAAATTCAGTTAAATTGTTAATAGCCTCCTTGATGTACCATTGAGGTATACATACTTGACTATGTTTCTCTGTGCAGAGCTAAATGACTTTACCAAGGGCAGAATTTGGGAGTGCCGTAATTAACTTCAACAGACTCTGGTCACAGGAAAAGTCCTTCTCTGAGTTCCTTCTCCAAACTTACCATCTGATAGATGATGTTCATTTTCAAAGCAATCATTGCATCAGCAAGGCATGTTACCTTCAAGTTCAACTGAATTGTTCAAAGTAGCCAAAGATGGAGGACTATTAAAAGTTATTTTTTATTCACAGGGATTTTTTCATCAAAAAAGGGTAAAAATTGTGGGAAATAATGCAGCACAACAAGTCTCACCAAATTCATTTGGCTTTATTTTGGAACATTCGTTCAATGGCACACTGGTTCAAACTGTGCATAATTCTGGAATTATCACTGCAGCTTTTGAGATATATGCACACCATCACAGATGCTACAAAAAATCATCTAATCCTGTTTATAGAAATGTAATTATGGTAAATATCACTTTTTACTGATTGGATTTCACCCCAAAATAGGAAGTGAAAATCAGTAAAAAAAAAACAAGTTTAAAGGGCCTTACCAACAGTGTTATTTATGGACTTGATAGCAGGTGGTGGGTGAGTTTATCTTATTGTTTAATCCAATTTCCCTGCCTTTTTCCATAATACAGTATTTACTTTCCAAGTTTCATTCTCCTTTTTAACAACTGAATGTTTTCTACTCCACAGCCCTTTGGAGCAATGCATTCCACATGTTCAAAACCTATTTTGTCTTAGGCCAAGTAATTTTCATCCCAAACTTGCCATCTGATAGTGATGTTCATTTTCAGGTAAAGGAATCATAACATCAGCAAAGCAAAGACTGAATATCAATTCAAATCTGTAACTTGTTTAGCCTCTCACTTTTCCACTTTAAATAACCCCTTGCTGGTCTCCCTAGTTTTATGTTCAACAAGCTTCAGCTTATCTAGAACTGCATTCATATCATCTCCTGAACTCAGCTCCACAAACCTGTCAGCCCCATTTTCACCAGCTTCCACTGGTTCCCCATTCCTCATGCCGAATCTTCAAAATACCTCCAGGTCCTTGTCACTCCCTATTCTGTTACAGGCTCCAGTCTCAACAACCCATTCGCTCACTTTTCTCCGTACGCTGAGGCCTGCTGCCGTCCCTATCAACTTCAACCTGTCATCAGTGGTCAAGCTTTCAGGCACTGCGCTCTCGCTCTGGAACCGCCAAACTTCCTTCACCTCAGCCCCTTTCCTTATTTTCGAAATGCTTCGTAAACCTAACCTCTGATCGACCAGTTTTCTGCAACTGGCCTCCCCTTCATCGAACATCGTCAATGAAAAGCATTTTGAGAATTTCTTCTCTAGGAAACTACTTACAACAATTTGTAGTTTTAACAATATGGAATTCTGGATCCCTCTGTTCCTCTTCTCCATTGTTAATATTTCCACTTGGGGAATATCTCCATCTTCTATTCATCATACTGAAATGTCTGAGTAGATTTTTTTTAAAGTCTCTTCTAGGTACATGACACAAGGTTTTGTTGCTGGTGACTTTTCAGTCTGGCACATTACCTTACGCCTAATAATAATCCCTCCAAAAACCAAAAAACAATAATAAATTGGTCATTTTCAATCTACGACTGTTTGTGAGACATTGCTGTGCGCAATTGGCTGCCGCGTCCGCCCACAAATATACAGTCAATTCACTTTACAGTGTGTTCTGTGAAGCGCTTTGGGACGTCCTCCTGACGTGAAAAGCGCTATATCAAATGCAAGGATTATTATTATTATTATTATTATTGAGTTCCAGTTCATCCAGAAGCAAGAATGTTACAGAATAAGACAAGCAAGGGTCTACATGTTTTTTTTCAATTAAGAAAGCCAGCTCACCTGCTTGAAGGACCCTTTGGTTGTGTAGAACTTGAAGAGCACGCACAATGGGAAGCACAGCATGGAGGAGAGTGCAAGTAACCAACCGAGGACATAAGCCCACATCGGATACATGTAGGTTTTATTGTATTTGAGAGGTTTGTATTCAATCAATGAGAAAATGAAAGTACTCTGCAACAAAATGAGGAAATAAGAATTCAGTAATGAGACAACTGAAAATGAAAATAATAAAGGGTCACCTGTTTTGCATAAAGGTAAGGGAATGGAACTCCAAAGCTTCATCTGCATTTATCCCCCATCACACAAATTTATCAATAAGATTCTTACTTTTTAATTAATCTCATCCAAGGCTGGAGAAGTTTATCTGCTTGTGCCTTTGAGTGTAATCCTCACATCACCTGAGGGAATTGTAAAAGCAAATGGTTGAGATCCCCCAGGCTGATGTGAAGTCTGTACTGAGAGGCACATTTGACTGACATTTCCTAGGCAGGGGTGAGGATTACATTTAGATACACAAATTAATAATATTCCCTATCCTGGGCAAGGATTTCACTGAAATAAACTTGTGGTGAGATCCCCTGAAATAAGCCACTAGTGAGATCCCATGAGGTAAACTAATGGTGAGAATCCACTACAAGAATCCCTGACTGGGGTACGTACATTTGGAGGTACAAATGGGAGAAATTCGCTAAACTTCGGTGAGGATTACAGTAACATGCACAAGTGGGTGAGATTCAGTGAATTTGATGAGGATGGGAGCCACGACAAATGGTTTTGTCATAATTAAAATAAAATTCATTTCATTCTCTACCTTGATTGATTCAACCAACAGATTTGAATAATAATTCATTAGAAAACAATGAGATGCTTACAAGACAAACTCCAGGAGTGATGAAACACCAACACCACTTCATGAAGGGCCAGGGTCTGTACCCAATCATATCTTCAATATTGTCATAGAATCGATCAGCACCTAGACAGAAAAGTAAATATAGAACACAACATAAAATTATAGCACCAAACTAGGCCATTCAGCCTAACCCAACATGTGTTTTTCTTCAATAAGTCTGCATTCTAATTCTCTCTTCCTTCCTTCCTCCCCCCCCCATTATCACCATTGAAGAGGTATTGGTAATAACAGGCTTGGAGAAAATGTAGGAGTAAAGAAGAGCAACAACAGCAACAACAAAAACAATTATATTTGTATAGCATCTTTCACATCAGGAGGATGTTCCAAGACTCTGGACGCAGGGATCCATATCTGAGCTGATGGTTGGGATCAGGGGGGTGGAGAACAGGGAGAGTAGGGGTAGGAGGGTGACGGAAGGCATGGTCGAAGAGGAGGGTCTTGAGATGGGTCTTGAAGAAGGCAAGGGAGGGGGCAAGGTGGAGAGACTATGGCATGGCGTTCCAGAGGGTAAGGGCAGAGAGGTTGAAAGGAGGGGTAAAGACCTGGAAGGGCAGGGTTAGGAGGGTGGCTGAAGGTGGTGCAGTCAAAGAGGAAGGTCTTGAGATGAGCCTTAAAGGAGGCAAGAGAGGGAGTATGATGAAGGAACTGTGGGATGGCATTCCAAATGGTGAGGGTAGAAAGACTGAAGACCCGACCGCTGAGGGTAGATGGGCTGGGCGGGGATCATGGAGTACACCAGAGTCCGCTCAGTGGAGGGAGCGGACAGGTCAGTATGGCATTAGCAGGTCGCAGAGGTAGGAAGTAGCAAGGCTGTAGAGGGCTTTGAAGATGAGGATGAGGATTTTGAACTCTAACCTCTGGGGGATGGGGAGCCAGTGGTACCAGGCGAGGATAGGGTTGATAGGTTTATGGAGTCTGGTACAGGAGAAGTTACAAGCTGCAAAGTTCTGAATAATCTGCAGTTTATGGAGTTGGGAAGATTGACAAGCAAGGAGTTAGCATAATTGAGCCTGGATTTGATACCAAACAGGAAAATCCCTTGGTCTTTAGAAATCTATTGCCTGCTCATTGGTTCAGCGGCTTCTAGGACCCATCAGAATCACATTTAAATTCTAAATTTCTTTGTGTTTCTCAGTGTGGAGATCACTGGACCATACTTTCAGCATCTGCCAAGTAGCCAAACTTTCGGTAGACAAAATGCTGTGAACTAATTTTGAATTTTCTAAAGATTGAGCTTTGCCGCTGAAGATCATCTTTTTTGCATCTCAATTCACATACGTACCATACACCCAGCCAATGCATAAAACTTCAAAGGTTGACAGGAATAGCAGACATGTTCCACTGACTGCATAGTAATCGATCAGCTGTAAGATATACATCCCACCCTAAAGAAAGAAAGCACTTGCCAATTAGCGTTTTTTTAATCGCACTTTATCATGTTGAAATATCTCAAAAAACTTGACAATGAATGCTGATAAGTGCAATGACTGTATTTTGCCTCAGCAATTTTGCACAGCAGACAAATTAATCTGGATAATTGTTGGCCAGATCACCGGGTGAACTCAATCTCACTTTTCAAATTGCCAGGAGATGTTTAACATCCACTTACATAAAGGACCTCACTCTAACATTTGATCCAAAGTTTGGCACCTCTGACAATGTAGTATTCCCTCAGAACTGCACTGGAGTGTCAACTTAAATTCAAAGATCATTTACAGAAAATTAGCTTCAAAATTAAGACTGTATTTAAGAATTTCCTAATCTCAGCTCATTCTAAAATGCTTCATAAATAGAATAAATCCAGATCAAGTGGAATTTTCCTCCCTAGCATGATCATTGTGAACAATAATTGTGTACTTGCCAACATCGCAAAGCAACACCAGCATCGGCCTGATCCCTGCCCTTATATTTTGCAAATAGCAAAAGTTGTACAATGCCTAGACTCTCATGAGTGAGCAAATGCATCACCGACCTCACCTACACAAGATGCCAAGCGTGCGGCAATCATTGCTTGATTGCCCAAAGGAAGCACTGTGCTTGTCATCCTTATATGGGAATGAGTTGGAAAAGAAGGGAAAGTAATGCAAACCTTCCAAGTCTTACCCATCATTTTGCAAAGTCAACCTGACATTCGATTACCAAAAAGCAATGTCCCTAATGTTCTCCCATTTATCCAGCACAGGGAACATTATTCCAAAAAGCAGGAAAAAATATACTTTGTTCTCTTGAGCACAGCAAGGAACTCTCACCTCTGTCACCAACAACAGTCCAAGGGAAAATGAGACCATTGAGATCGCCAGGATAAAAAGCGCTCGATGATTTGTTCCTCGGAATTTTGTTGGAAATAAGTCCATAATCGTTGTTGCCAGGCACTCAACACCTATAAACTGCAGAAGTTGAAGTTTGAAAAAAAGCATCAATTTATGTTTACATAGCACCTTTTGTGGCACCTTTTGTACCACCTTCCCCCCCCCCCCCCACCCATCTCCCACTCAACACTGCTGTAGAGTGGGAGATGGGGGGGGGGGGGGGAGGTGGTAAACAGGAGCCCAAGACGATGGGGATGGTGAAGGTAACCAAAAGCATGGACAAAGAGGTATTTCTTGAGGCGTGTTTTGAATGGGAGGGAGCAAGTTGAGGGATGGAGTTTCAGAGAACAGGAGAAGAATGGCTAATAGTTTGCCCATTGATGGTGGAGCGGATAGGAAGAGTGACATGAACACCATCTTGCTGCCAATGAAACTCCAGCTGACCATTGTTGATCTCAGTATGCTGAAATACTATACCCCGAAACTCTGGAACACTTATTCTCTATCCTTCCACCTTGCCCTTCCTTCCCCATCTTCAGGTTGCGCCTGACAACTTTCCTATTTGACCGTGCCTATGGTCACCTCCCCCTCCCCCCCAGCTCAGCATCGTGCTCCACCACAGTCAAGCACTCTGGGACGCTGTCGTGCATGAGTGGCGCTATGTAAATGTAAGTTGTTGTTGAAATTCCTATCCATTCTCTATTGAAGCAAAGAAAACTTTTAACTTGGAGGTAAAAGCCAACAAGGAGCCTGCCATTTATATTATTTTGTCTCTAATGCTCAAAGATAGGAAGCAAACGCAGGGAGATGTACCTGAAATTCAGTTTGTTGGAACTCACGTTACTCTTAGTTTACGGATTTTCTGTCATTTGCCTGGCAGGGATCACAAAGCCAATAATAATAAGAATCCTTCCTGTTGATGATCCTTGCAATCCTTGCATGTCGAAGCAAGTGTTTACAATTATAAAAGGATTTGATGAGGTTCATATAAATAGGCTCTTTCCACTGGCTGGGGAATTTGTACCAACAACAACAACAAAATTACATTTGTATAGCTCCTTTCACGTCGGAAAGACATCCCAAGGTGCTGGACAGACAGAGTTTCGGACCCAAGCTTGGGATCAGGATTGGAGAGAGTGGAGGGCAGGGTGATTGAAAGCACAGTTGAAGACAAGGGTCTTGAGATGGGTCTTGAAGGAGGCAAAAGAGGGGGTGGAGTTCCAGAGGGTGGGGGCAGAGTGGTTGAAGGCCCGCCCACCAATAGTGGAGCAAGCGAGGCAAGGGACATGAAGCAGCCCGGAGCCCGCTGAGCAGGATGGTAGGAGGTCGCAGAGCTAGGGGGTAGCAGGATCATGGAAGGCTTTGAAGTGACGACCAGGATCTTGAACCTCTGTTTGATGGGAAGGCAGTGGAGTTGGGCGAGGATGGGGGTGATAGGGTCACAGAGCCTGGTGCGGGAGAGAACAAAGGCTGCAGAGTTCTGGATAATCTGCAGCCTATGGAGGGAGGAGTTAGGGAGGCCAACAAGCAAATGTTTGTATAGTCAAGGCTCGATGAAATGAAGGTTTTGGTGGCCTGCAGTCGGGGACAGTGGTGGAGCTGGGTGTTGTTGGAGGTGAGCGAAAGCACAGATGTGGGGTAAAATGAATAGTTGAGGGTCAAACAAGATGCCAAGGTTCCAGACAGTCCTAGTGAGGTGGAGTGTGCAACCATAGATGGTGATGCTGTCAGCGCCTGAGATGTAGAAGCGCTGATGGGAGTCAATCAGGAAGCCTCGGTCTTGTTGACGTTCAACTAAAGAAAGTTAGCTCTCATCCAGGACTTGATGTCTGACAGACATTTTCTCAGGTCAGCAGTGGTCCTGGAGTCAAGCGTGGAGGCAGAGAGGTACAGTTGGATGTCATCCGCATACATGTGGAAGTTGACCCCATGGCTGCGGATGATGTCACCAACATACATGTGGAAGTTGACTCCATGTCTGCGGATGATGTCACCAAGAGGGAGCATATAGATATTGAAGGGGAGGAGACCGAGGACAGAGCCCTGATGAACGCCGCACAAGACGATGCAGGGGCAGGAGGAGAAACCGTTAATTGAGATGAAGTGGAGGCGGTGTGAGACACAAATAATCAGGAGAAACAAGTGTAAGATAGCAACTAATGGATCAAAAAGAGAATTTAGGAGGAACTGCTTTACCCAGAGGATAGTGAGATGTGGCTCACTGCCTGTAGCGCTAGTTTCATTCGAGAGGAAACTAGACCTTCACATGAGGTAGAGTGGAATAGAAGGGTGTGAGAGGGAGTAAGGGAATGGGTGGAGACTCATTTGAATTATAAACACTGGCACAAACTGGTTGAGCCAAGTGTCTTGTTTCTGTGCTATACATTCTCTGTGAATCTTTCTTGGTAAAATTCAAAACAATTCACAGAGTTTTTCTGTAAAGTACAGTACCTGTGTGTTTGAAGGCAAAGGTTGTACACAGTAACATCCCACAAACATCCATGAAGTGAATGACAAAAAACATTTTCAATCTGGGAAATTGTGGCCAAAGAACAGAAGAAATTGTCTTTTTTTCATAGTACCATGGAATCTTTTACATACACCTGGACAGGGAGACTTGGTTTAATGTCTCGTCCAAATTACAGAACCTCCAGGCATACAGCGATCCTCCAGCACTGCAATGGAGTGGCAATTTCACCTATGAGCTCCATATACCGACGTGAGGCTTGAACTCACAACCTTTATACTCAGAGGTAAGAGTACTGAGCTAGGCTAACAGCATCTACTCATGGGTCACACATATGCTAAAAGTTGCAAAGTCCATTCATTTCTGTGCTGCTATTTTTTACTTTGAAGGTGAATCTCTATATATGGAGGCAACACCTTTCGGGGAAGAGACCGATCAGATTGAACCCTACTTTTTCTCAGAGTATTATTGAGGCAGTTACCTGACTATCCAGACCCAGGAAGATGATCATCAGGAAGAATAAAAAGGCCCAGAGTTGGGAGAAAGGCATCATGGTAATTGCTTTGGGGTATGCGATAAAGATAAGACCAGGACCTATGAAAGATACATCCACAAAGATCAAAAAATGTTTAGCACAATGCATGTATTTGTAAATTGAAAAGCAATCTCTCTGAAAAGACAGACTTTATTTTTCCTCATTTCTTTCTACCAACAACCATACAGTCAGCATCCGACAAAGCAGCTATTCTCACTTTGGCTTATTTACATCTGTTGGAAAGTTTGTACTGTTATAGAAGGATTACATATTTCATTCACTTTGCCCTATTGAACAATTGAAGTGACGCGCTAAGACTGATAGTGCAGGATACCAAAGTTGAGAAAAGTAGATGAGAAAAGAAGTCAAGAAGAACTTGTGGGGTAATTCCCAGGTTTGAATTTGTAAAGCTTGCAGAGATTTAAGTGACAAAAAAGCTCATTCTTGAAGTTCTGAAAAAAGAATAAATCAGAGGAAGATAGTGCAGTGAATCTTGATTTAATAATAATCCTTGCATTTGATATAGTGTCTTATCACGTTGTTGAGACATCTCAAAGCACTTTACAAAATATACTTAGAGTGAATTGACTGTATATTTTGTGGGTGAAATGCGGCAGCCAATTGGATACAGCAATGTCCCACAAAAAGTTGTGAATTGAGTGACCAAATTTTTTTTTGCTGGGTGGGGGTGATATTACCTCCGAAATGCCAATGACTAACAACCAGGTTCCCACTTATTGCTAGGTGCACACAGGAATGTGGAGTAAGGAAACTTGCTTAAGGTTTTGCCTTGTTGCATTGTGGTGAAGATGTAAGATGATGTATTTGAAGGGTGGGAAGAAGCTCATTTCAAGGATGCGAAGATCCCTGGATGTGGGAATGGAAGAGACTAAATCCAAATATTCAGATAGCACTCAGTCAAATTGGGGCCTAATTTGTCACACTTACACTTCTTGCAACTTCCATTTTACTGTTTAATTTATATAATTTATAAAAATCTTGAGTTATGGAAGATCCCAAAATGTCAAAAAGGCCAAAGAACAAAATAGACTCAGGATTTCATCAATTGTTGAGGTCTTTTGGAACATGTACTCTGTAGTTTACTGTCAACTGTTACCCTGTTCTTGCAGTCTTTTGTAATGTGTAAATAATAGGTATACATAACAATATAATATTATTTAAGAACATGAGAACGAGAATTAGGAGCAGGAGTAGGTCATTCGGCCCCTCGAGCCTGCCCCGCCATTCGATAAGATCATGGCTGATCTTCAGACCTAACTCTAATTACCTGCCCTATCCCCATATCCCCTAATCCCTCTGTTTTTTAAAAATCTATCAGTCTCAGCCTTGAAGATGTTCAAGGACTGAGCATCTACAGCCTTTTGGGGTAGTGAGAAATGTTTCCTCAACTCTGTTCTAAAAGGCTGACCCTTAATTTTAAAACTGTAACCCTGGTTATAGATTATCCTACCAGGGGAAACAGACCCTCGGTGACTACTTTATCCAGCCCTTTAAGAATCTTATATGTTTCAATAAGATCTCCCTTAATTCTTCTGTACTCTAGAGAATACAGCCCTAGTTTATTCAGCCTATCCTCATTTATTTGGTCAGTCCCCTCATCCCAGGAACCAACCTAGTGAATCTACGCTGCAACCCTCTAGGGCAAGTATGTCCTTTTTTAAATAAGGAGATCAAAACTGTACACAATACTCTAGGTGCGGTCTCACCAAGGCCCTATACAGTTGCAGCAAGACTTCCCTACTCTTGTACTCTAAACCTTTTGCAATGAACGCTAACATGCCATTTGCCTTCTTAGTTGCTTGCTGCACCTGCAAACTAACTTTTTGAGACTGGTGTACAAGGACACCCAAATTCCTCTGCACACTAACACTATCTAATCTCTCCCCCTCTAGAAAATAATCTGTTTTTCTATTTTTGCTACCTAGGTGGATAACTTCACACTTCCTCACACTAAATTCCATCTGCCATATTATTTAAATGGGTTCTATAAGATTCAACGAAGCAGAAGCTGCTTATAGATCCAGGGCTGCTTGATGGACAGTCAGCTAACAAGCAGCTGTAGAGTAAACTAACACATGGGCGCTAACACGGGAAAAACCCTCGCATTCGCATCATACAGTGGGCGGAGCCACACATCTACATAAGGCAGTGCTCGGTGCTCCTCGTGGTTGCTAACTAATGGTCATCATCTGGTACTGATGTGTACAGGACAACTGCACAGTCAGGGCTGGTTTTATATTTCTTTACTAATGTAGTATTGTGCCGCCAGTTGTTATAGTTATGTGCGATTGTTATGTTTGATTGCATTGTTGCTTATCTGCTATTGTTGTGTTCCTTACATATAGGGGAGCCTAGGGTTGGTAGGTTTTAATTAAAGAGCTGTTGTTTCTATTGAATATCACCTCGAGTCTCTGTAGTATTCTAGATAAGAAAAGGAGTAAGCACTTCGGAGGGTAGTTGTCAACATCGAATGTCTACTAGTGCGAGCAGACTCTGATTGGACATTCCAGTTACCAGGCATTGGGGTTAACTGGGAATACCTGTCTGTGTATGACTCTGATTTGGTTGAGTCAACTTTGAAATAGGGACTCACACCAACAGGGTTAGAACAGAAGCAAAGGCCACTTAGTAAGAAAGCATTAAAAAAATTTGCAAGTACATCAAAGGGTGAGAACCTTCACAGTACAGCTGTGAATAAGCTGAATTTAAAGCATTCTTCTGGGACAAAACGGATTAGTTGAAAGTAAAAGAGCCTGGGTTTCAGGTTTCAATATTTGTGCTTAAATAAACTAGAAACATTATTTAAAACAGTTTTAAAAATAAGAGTGCTCCCTACCAGACTCTGCCACATCAGAGATGGGTACACCCTGTTCATATGACATGAATCCCAGGACGGAAAAGACAGCAATACCAGATACTACACTTGTTCCGCTGTTCAAAGCACTCAGCATCAAACAGTCACTGAGGGGAACAGAAGAAATTTTATCATTTGGAAAAATAGCAACTTTGGAGAAATTTTCAGTCATAAGTCATAGAAACAAAATTGAGTTCTGTTTGAGAGAGGATAGCCTGGGAGAACAATGGGTGCTGAACCTGGATGATTAATGGGATCAAAATCTCTCTGTATTTGTGTAACGTATCGAAGATATGATATGTGATAGCAAATATAAATGGCAAGTAAATTGATCTGCAAAACATTTGAGAAATGAAGGTCATGGAGATGTTTAAGTGTGGTATCACGTTGAAACCCATAAGATGTGATGTCCTTTGATGAATAATTAACTTTCAGGGTTTTATTATACTTTAAACATAGTGGTCCTGAAGGTTTATGCATTATATCATTATATTTTTTAACTAGACACCTTTGGAACCTCTCAGAAGAAGGCTGCCAGGATAATGAATAATTGTGTACAGTGAAGTGGCCAGGATAATGAATAATTTTGTTCAATTTTGTTCTCTCTCCTAGTGGTAAAGGGCAGTGTTTTAACTCACCTTTCAACACAGTTCCAAACAACATCATAGGACACTTATAAAATTTGAGCCTACTGCTTAAGGAATCATTCTTAGGTCATCTACATGAATGGAGGATAGAGAGACTGTGAACAGCACAATACCTGTAGCAGTTATTGTGGTACTTATTGTAGCTTCCCAGGGACGTAAGAGCACCCAGACATACGGCATAGGAGAAAAAAATCTGAGTACCAGCATCCATCCACACCTGAAGTAAACAAAAAAGCATGCGTGATCAAATGCAATAGGTTGTGCAGGTGTCAGTTGGTAGCAATCTGAAATCTGAGTTAAGGTGCAGTCCTTAGACAAAAAGTTAAAGCAAGGTCCCATATGCCCATTCTTCAGGTGGCTGGTAAAGATCCCATGACAGTATCGAAAAAGAGAAAGGAATTTCTTCCGGTGTCTGAATTATCCTTTAATGCAAGAATGTCTAATAGCAGTACATTAAAGCAGATGGCCAACTTGTAGCCTGCAGGCTACATTGTGTAGTATTGTAGCTCAGTGGTTAGAGCATTCGCCTCTCAAGTGAGCGACCTGGGTTCGATTCCGGGCAGGGTGAAATGTTGGGCAAGTTTCCTTTCTCCACTCGACTCTGTTTACCTAGCAGTAAGTAGGAACCTGGTTGATTGGTGGATCGCTTTTTCGGGGTAATAATTCCTTCCCTAAAAATAATATTAATAAATTGTTAACTTCAATCCACAACTGTTTGTGGGACACTGCTTTCGCATTTTCTGCTGCGTTTCGCCCACAAATATACAGTTAATTCACTTTACAGTATATTCTGTGAAGCACTTTGAGATGTCTCGAAGACATGATAAGGCGCTATATCAAATGCAAGGATTATTATTATTATTACATGCATATATTAGTCACGCGGACTGCAAATTGGTCATCCCTGCTTTAATGCGCATTTGCCTACGAGTACACAGTTGCTGTAAATCCATTGAGGGGCTTTGTATGTACTATGTTTCAAGGTTATTTGCTGGCCATAATTTCACCATTTCTCACAAATTGATATCTGATGTGAAACAATGTGAAACCAGAGATTCATCTGTCTGTTCAGGTGTACATTAAAAATCCCATAGCATTTTCGGAAAACAGAAGGGAGTTTCTCAAATTATCTAGGCCAACAATCCCCTAAATTGGTTATTTACTTTATGGTTGTTTGTGGGATATTGTTCTCTGTAAATCGGATACTTTGTTCACCCACGACATAAAAAGTCACTGCACTTTACAGTATATCCTGTGAAGTGCTTTGAGACTTCCACTTTATGTATCAAATGTAAGGAATATTATTATCTGGTAAATGTGAAGGTAGGTGAAGGCTGTACCAAAAGGGTTCGATAGTTTGGAAGCAATTGAAGCAAATTGCAATAAATTTAATCTATCAGTATGGCTGACTGACTAAAAGTGAAGGGAGGGAGTGTTCCTGAGGCATTTTATCGGGGTAATTTACTACTGTTCTGATCTCTTCTGGAATTTTTTTAAAAAAAGGACATGACATCTTTGTTCCTGATATGAATGGCCTTGGCTACACTGTGAGGAGGTTTAATAATAATAATAATCCTTGCATTTGATATAGCGCTTTTCACATCTTCTAGATGTTTCAAAGCGTGTCACAGAATATGCTGTAAAGTGAATTGACCATATATTTGTGGGCGAAACGCGGCAGCCAATTGGGCACAGCAATGTCCCACAAACAGTCGTGGATTGAAAATGACCAATTTATTATTGTTTTGTATTGGAGGGATTATTATTAGGCGTGTGGAGTAAGGAAACTTGCCCAAGGTTTCGCCCTGCCTGGAATTGAACCCAGATGTCTCACTTGCAAGGCGAGAGCTCTAGCCACTGAGCTGCAGGACTCCACAAAGTTTGCTCTCAAAGTCACAAAGTGACTCCCCCACCACCCCATCACTCTCAAAAAAGAAACACAGCCTATAGTTAGCTGTGAAGTAAAATCTCTATATTATATCTGAATACTAAAGCCATTCTGAGGTGTTACAGTTCCACTTGCACACAATGCTCTCTTCACTGGAACATGGAAGTCAAACAACAAAAGCTTGTTTGGAATATCTGCAGCTTCTGAAATTTTACAAGAACTAAAGGAGCACAACCAAAAGTACTATTAGAAATTATGGAAATAACTGTTTGTGGAAGTGACAACAAGATAAGGGAAAGATTTCCAATTATCTGGTACTTGTTTCGCAAACTTGTGGAGCCTGTGCTACATCTTAGAAATGTCAAATGAAAGAAATGGCCACACCAGTCATCAAGTATGTTGGCAGTGATAAGAAGCTGACTACTTCAGCATGTGCCAACATTAAGACATACATTCTTCTTCAACCTAACCTGACACAAGAAAATATGCCTTGGTTGTAAGAAGCATTGAATAACATCACGGACCTTAAACAAACAATAGAAAATACTTTTGCAAGACCACAACAACTTAGATTTAGACATCCACATTCTTCACATTTACTTTTTTTGTTTTGTTCTGAGAAGAGCTAGCATGAAAACCCTTTGTCAAAAGCGGGGAGTTAAAACGTAGAATTTTGAGCGTTATCTATGGTTGACAGTCTTTGAGAGCTTCATATTGTTGTTCTATTACTTTTAGATACCTTGTTACATTATAGTGTTAAGTAATGTCAATAAACGATAATTTATGATTGCAAAAGCAATAAGGTCCTTGTCAAAGTTCAGACCCACAAACATTCCGAACAGCTTATATTCTGAGAAGTATATTTTGATCTTCTTCCATAGCTCGAAGCATTCGAAACAAGATAGATGAGTTAAATGCACAAATAGAAACAAACGGGTATGATCTGGTAGCCATCACCGAGACATGGTTACAGGGAGATCAAGGGTGGGAGCTAAATATTCCAGGGTATGTGGCGTATAGAAAAGATTGGCAATGTGGTAAACGAGGAGGGGGGNTGTGGCCCTGCTAATAAAAGATAGGATAAAAACGGTAGAGAGGAAAGATTTTAAATCAGAAAAGCAGGCAGTAGAGTCAGTATGGGTAGAAGTACGTAACAACAAGGGGCAGAAAACTCTAGTGGGAATAGTTTATAGACCCCCAAACAGCAGTCACAGTATCTCTCAAGGTATAAATCAGGAAATTAGCAGAGCATGTAGTAAAGGAAAAACATTAATTGTGGGTGATTTTAATCTGCACATGGATTGGAACAACCAAATTGGGAAAAGTATGATAGAGGAAGAGTTTATAGAATGTATTAGGATAATTCTCTTCATCAGTATGCCGAGGAGCCAACCAGGGAACAGGCCATATTAGACCTTGTTTTGTGCAATGAAGCAGGGGTCATCAGCAAACTGGAAATTAAGGCTCCTCTCGGGCAAAGTCACAGTCTTAAAATTAAGGGTCAGCCTTTTAGAACAGAGTTGAGGAAACATTTCTTCACTCAGAGGGTAGTGCATTTATGGAATTCACTACCCCAGAAGGCTGTAGATGCTCAGTCCTTGAACATCTTCAAGGCTGAGACTGATAGATTTTTAAAAAACAGAGGGATTAGGGGATATGGGGAGAGGGCAGGTAATTAGAGTTAGGTCTGAAGATCAGTCATGATCTTATCGAATGGCGGAGCAGGCTCGAGGGGCCGAATGGCCTACTCCTGCTCCTAATTCTTATGTTCTTATGTTCTTGGTCTTTGGGGAGATCGAAATAACTTATATCCTATCTTCTTGTCGCATTCTGCAAAATGTTAAATTGAATACAGAAAGTTGTCCTTCACAAATGTGAACCTGGGACCCCTTATCTTCCTGCCTTGGCATACCTGGAAGTTGTGTTCCAGGTTATTTTCTTAATCTGATTATCATCTATATGTATATCCAAATGTTCCTGCTAAGATATCTCCTTGCAAGATTGAAAAGCCTTACACTTTTCATTGTTTATTGACACTTTTCAGTGTTTATTGTTTATTGACACTTTTCATTGTTTATTCCACTAAATGAAGAATCATCCTCAAGGCTTTCCTTTGCCTCTAAGGTGAGGACATTAAATTATCCTTTATGTCAGGGATGAAAAATCCAACATATGGCCAGCAGCACTTAGCCCAAAGATTTGGTTACCTGAGGATCGGCTAGCCTGGACAAGTCAGGATACATGTAGAACTTGATTCCCTCGGCAGCACCAGGTAGGGTCATGCCTCTGATCAGAAGGATGATCAGCATTACATACGGGAAGGTAGCAGTGAAATAAACAACCTGCAAAAGAAAACCATGAACAGGGCATGTTGTGATAACAGTGTTTTGCCCTGAGATGGTAGCACTCCCACCTATAGCAAGGATGAGTGCAAAGTTCTTGCAGTTAAACGTCAATAAGACGGAAGCCAAACTCTTTAGCTCCCATCGACGTCTTCTGTCCTGTGGTTCCGACCTCCTCAACCTACTCGATCTGTCCGTAAATCTCTCTGAACGCATGCATAACTTAGACGTCAGGTTCCGATCCCGTTATCCTTCCTCTCCTACATCCAGTCCCTGACCAGGACTGCCACCTCTGACACATTGCCCGTCTCTGACAATACTTCACCCCACAAGCTGCCAATATACCTTGTGCACCCCTTCGTCACCTCTCGGCTGGACTACTCAAATGCCCTCCTTGCCGGTCTCCCATCTTCCACTATTCACAAAATTCAACACATCCAAAACTCCGCCACCTGCATTTTCACCCACACTAAACTCCGTACCCCACTTACCTCAGTCCTTTGCAAACTCCACTGACTCCCTGTCACAGAGTGGATCGATTTCAAGATCCTCACTGCTGATTAAATCCCTCCATGCTTTGGCACCCCCCCCCAATCTCTCTAACACCCTCTCTCCTCACAGCTCTATCCGCTGCCTCTGGTTTACTGGCTCTGGCGTCCTCCTTGTCCCTCGAATCCTCCGCTCCACCATCAGCGGCTGTGCCTTCAGCCACTACGCCCTGAAACTATGGGAATCCCTCCCTTAATCCCTTCGCCTTTTCCCCTCTTTTCCCATTTTCAGGTTGCGCCTGAAGACCTTCCTCTTCGACTATGCCTACGGTCACCTTCCCCCTGGCTCAGCATCAGGCTCCACCATTTTTAAGCACTGAGGGTGGTATATAAATGCAAGTTCTTGTTGTTATGAGTTAAGGTTGGCCTCACAGTTCAGGCTGACTATCCAGTGTAGTGCTGGAAAAGCACTACATCGTGGGAGATTCCATTCCTTCACACTATATCTGTCTGTTCAATTTATTTTAATGGAAACATTATTCGAAAAGAGAAGGGACGTTCTCCCAGTATCCTGGCCAACAATCTTTCAGGTAAATGCGTTATTCACCCCATAGCTATTTGAATTACTTTATTGTGTGCAAATTGATGGCCATATTTGTTGCCAAAAATTATCACTTATACTATAAAGTGTTTTAAGATTTTTTGATCACATGAAGGACATTAAAAATGCAAGTTCTTCCTTCCTTGCTAAAGGTGTCATCAAATATTCACTTCCAAATTATTCTGTTTCATTGAACTCAACAAAATCTTGAAATTAGATTTGTTGGCCTCTTGGAACAGTTCTTTTAAAAAGACACTTTCTGCACTCACCTTGCCGGTGGACTTTACTCCTTTCCAGATACAAAAAAAACAGATAATCCAGGCCAGAAGAAGACAAAGGGCCAGCTTCCACTGCACTGCGCCTAAATTGTCAATCCCATCAGACAACTTCAGGACATGATTCCTGCAGAGAAAAAAACACAGATGAAGATGTGTGGTTTTTCGTGCTATGCATGTGACTATCATAGATTCTGATGAAGCAGAAACACCAAATGATTTTAACCCCCAAAGAAATAGTGTCAGGACTGAAACTCCTGATATGCAATTCATTGAGTTCTCAAACAAATGAGAGGGGGTATTTTCAGGATTTACAATCAAACCTTTTCAGTAACCTCTCAGGGCCTATACCAAAGTGGACTTCATATAAGGGTGGCCTCTGAGTAAGGGTTCATTGATTTGTTGACTAGGCCTGATTTTTTTTAAAAATTCCGCTGGCCTGGGTATAGACTCCCGCCAGACTCCTAGTGCATTTACCAATGCAGCAGGAAGCTGAGGGCGCAAGGTGGGCTAAATTAGTAAATTAGTAAATGCACTAGTTGTCTGGTGGGAGTCTAAATTTGGGCCTGTGGAAATTGGTATTGCATTATTGGTAACTTAAATTCACTTAGAACTGGTCACTGAAAAGGATGTCTGTACACCGACAGGGCCAAAAAAAAGAGTAGTTGCATTAGACAGATGGTTACTAACGACAATACTGGTATATTCTGGAAAACTGGTTGGGATAGTTTCAGGTGGTTGTTGGCAGCTGGTGGTTGCTGAATGCAGGTAGTTGCTTTAACAGTTTGTGAGATTCTTCAATCATTATTAAAATGGGTTCTGCCATGTGCCCTCAATCTATGAAATTTTCTCTCAAATCCCTTTGCTCCTTGCCTTTAAATCACTCTGAAAAGCCTACCTCTGACCATACCTTTGGTCAACAGCATCAAATTTCCTCTCAAACACACTAATGTTGTTAAAAATGCTTTACTTACTCCCAAAACTCAATAACTGGAGAGGTTCCATTTGTTGTCCTTGTCCAGTTGTTGGCTGAAGAGTTCTTTGTAAATTCCACACAGTCAGCTGTAAACCCATAAAAAGTCAATAGGGATAAAAATCACAAGAACAATAATCGAAGTCTGCATAGAGGAACTTTACTTTTGTTCAAGCTATTGCCAAGAAGAAGGAATTCACTGACATTATAGATTATACTCCTCAGTGCTAAATTCTAAAGTACGATTTTAAAACAAAGACCCAGGTAACAAACTGACAATTAACAATGCCAGAATTTTAGGAGATTAACAAATATGCTAATCGTGTTAAATTTTAGTTCCAACAGTTGGAGAATGATTCTGTCCCTTTAATTACATTCATTATGCAGAGATTTTTTGATCAGAAAGACATCTACAAATTACACTGTTACTACACTATATAATAAATCCTGTGAAGAGCTTGGAGACAACCTAATGACATGAAAGTCATCATTTTAAATGCAATCTGTTATTGCATCACAAAAAAATGGTTTCACGATGTCTGCGATGCCACCCCATAAAATCCAATTAATTCAGAATAGCACCTCAAGTATTCTCACCTGTACCAAAATCTGCTCCTCAATCACCCCAGCTCTTGCCAGTGCTCCCTCTCAAATAACCAATCGATTTCAAGAATCTCACACTCAGGCACAAATCATTTTATGCCCAAGCTCTTCCCTACCTTTCCAACCCCCTTCCTCTGCCTCACTCAGGTGGCCTTCTACACATCCATTGTCCTCTCTGCTCCACTATCAATAGCTGTGCTTTTAGCCACTACACCCTGAAACTCTGGATCTCTCTGCCTCAATCCCTCTATTTTTCTCTCCCCTTTTTTTTAGGCAAATCCCAATATTAATAATCCTTCCATTTGATATGCAAGGATTATTAATATTGGAATTTGTATAAATTACGCTCAATATCATTTTCAATTATTTCAGCAAAACAAAATGTCTATTACCCAAAGTTTTACCTGTGTTCCACTCATGACTACAGCTGCCCCACGGCAGCTCAGCACTGAAACAGTTGAAGAGGTAGAAGAGAGCCCAGGCCAGAATGAGAATGTAATACACTGCTAGGTACGAAAGAATGATCTGTGTGCCATAACCGATACCTGCCACAGGAAAGAAAAGGTGCCCATAAACATTCACCAGATAATAGATTCAAGTCTCACATCAGGAGTGAACACATAGTCTAGTGTTATTATTATTAGTCTAGGTTACTTCCTTTGGATCTTTTGAAAAAAACCTTGAACAAAGGTCCTATCTGCTTGTCCAAGGGGGTTTTGAGTGGCACTGTATGAAAAGAGAAAGGAGTTTTCTTCGTGTTAATCATGCAGTTCCCCTTGAAGCTTTTGGTTCCGTTTATGACACTCATACTTCTTTCTAATTTCAAGCACACATTCGTACATTCAACGCCAAGAATCCACCTTAATTGGCTTGCAAAGTAGCAAGCAGCTGCTGCTTAAACTCCACACCTCCAATTGGTGGAAACATTGTTCAATGGGAAGGGACATGTGCCTAAACTATGAACGAGGAAGATGGTTGCAATACTCTCGCGCATTTCATACTGAGCTGTGTTGCCCACCAGGAAACTCGCAGGGATGTTACTATCCATCTAGTGAGAGCTCCAACCAACACTTGTCAGATATCAAATGACCAACTAGTGACTATCCTTGTGGGTGGGGGAAGGGAGGATAATCAGGTTCTGAACTAAATCAAGCCAGCCCTCTATGGTGGTCTTGGGAGTCTGGTTCCTGAATGAGGTGGCTCCACAGTATTCCGGGGCACTGCTGACGACAGCATAGCCAGCCAGGATCATTTGTAGGATTCGTAAGGGCAGACCAGTCACTTGGAGCGGGGAGTCATCCACTCAGCTCCTGTTAACCCAGCAAGCCAAAACCCTAATGGGTAGGGTGGTCTTAGCTGGACAAGCAGTGGGAAAGCTTACCAGATGACAAGAAAACATTGTTCACTTCAATCAATGACTGTTTATGGGACACTGCTGTTCGCAATTGGCTGCTGCATTTCGCACACAAAATATACAGTCAATTCACTTTGCAGTGTTATTCTGTGAAGCACTTTAAGAGGTCTCAAAGATGCTATATTAAAGGCATCTCGAAGGTGCTATATCAAATGCAACAATCATCATTATTAGAATATATTAGAATATACAGCACAGAAACAGGCAATTGGCCCCAACTGGTCTATGCCAGCATTTATGCTCCACATGAGCCTCCCCTGTCCTTCCTCAACTAAGCCTTCAAGCATAACCTTCTATTCCTTTATCCTTCATATATCTAAATACCCTTAAATACATCTATCATATTTGCCTCAGCAACTCCTTGTGGTGTTCATGTTCCACATTCCCACTACGCTTTGTGTGAAGAAATTTCTTCTAACTTCCCTATTTGATCTATTTGTGACTATTTTATATTGATGGCCCCTGATTTTGGTCTCCCCCACAAGTGGAAATATCTTCCCTATGTCTACCCTATCAAAACCTTTCACCATTTTAAAGACCTCGATCAGGTCATCCCTTACCCTCCTCTTTTCAAAAGAAAAGACTCCAAGCATGTTCAGCCTTTCCTGATAGTTTCCTCTCAGTTCTGGGATCATCCTTGTGTGAGGACCAGAACTGCACACAGTATTCTAAGAAGAACTGTACACAGTATTCTAAGTATATTATTGCTATTATTATTATATCAATGGCAAACTATGTGATTTTAGCTGGTTAGATCCCAGCAGTACCCTAACGGATACTCTTCTGGATGCACCTAATGCATTCCAGAATTAGATAAGTGGGATGTGTCCCTCCAGGGAGAGAATGCACATTCCATTCCAACAATCTATCTGTGGGATTTCCATGTGTAGGTGGGATGCATGAAATTCTCAGTTTGGTTCGGATACTCTTAAGCATGGTGAACAGTTTCTGCATGTGTCAGACACCCGGCTGACCCAAAAAAATAAAAATAATTTCAAGCAAAAAATCTGCACTTACCCTCAAAAAGGGGACAGACCATCCTCCAAGACATGATTCCACTCTGACTGGTGTACTGTCCAAGCACAACTTCCAGGACAAACACTGGGATTCCACAAGTAAAGAGGAATATAATATACGGAACCAAGAATGCACCTGTTTTGGAGAAGAAAAGAACAGCTCCCACATAAATACCATTTCGGCGAGATGGCAAATGGAATACCTAAAATTGTTTACAATGTTCTAAATGATGCAATAATTTCTTAAAATTTAACAGTAAATACAAGCTTGACACACATTAAAAGCATGTTGTAACTCTGAAGTTGTGAAGCAAAATCAAATAATGTGCATGTGTGATACATATATTAAAAAAACTTGTATTTTTAAGTGCTTCACGATAATTATTGTCACATATAGATTCTGTTTTCGCAGCCAAACACAGACACCATCAGTACCAGGAACATTCTGTAAACCGGGGGTGAATGACCAATGTATCTGGGGGATAATTGGCCAGGACAACAGGAGAAACGCTTTTCTCTTTTCCGTTAGTCTTGTAGAATCTTTAACATTTTCCTGAGAACACTCAGGTGGTACCACATTTTAACATCTTATTTGAAGGACAACAACAACAACTTACAGTTATCATACCTTTCACGTAGAATAATGTCTCAGAATGATTTAACAAGACTAGCATCTCTGATAATGCGTAGCTCTCCCCTGTGTTCACCTACACTGTGAGCTCAAGTCGCAAAGTAAGGTTTGATCTGACAGGTGAGAGATCTAACAACTCATCCAAGCTGAAAATCTCTTGGTTCCAGAATGAAGAGTTGACAGTTCTCAAATAAATTTAGTTAGTTTGCTCTTGGACTTTGCCAATTTTGAAACACATTGTACAAACAGAGAATGTTGATAATCTTTAAGTATGCATTTTGAAAGTTAAGGAAAAAAATTGTCAATCTGATTTAATACATTATTCTATCATGGAGCCTATTTTTCTGTGATTTCAAGGCAAACAGGAACCAGTTCAATGCTTATCGTTCAGATCCTACCTCCCACACCATCTCCACAAACAGCTTGTCCGCTAGCCCCCACTATATAGATATTGAAGAGGAGGGGACCAAGGACAGAGCCCTAAGGAACGCAGCACAAGATGGTCCACTAGCCCCCATACCATTCCTCAGGGCTCTGTCCTTGGTCCCCTCCTCTTCAATATCTATATGCTCCCTCTTGGTGATATCATCCATAAACATGGGATCAATTTCCACATGTATGCGGATGACACCCAACTTTATCTCTGTCTCCATCCACGAATCCAAGACCACGGCTGTCCTGACAGAATGTCTGTCAGACATCAAGTTCTGGATGAGGGCTAACTTTCTACAGTTGAACGTCATCAAGATCAAGGCCATCCTGATTGTCTCCCGTCAGCACCTCCACACCTCAGGCACTGACAGCATCACCACCCAAGGATGTGGGTTGGGATCAGAGGGGTGAAGGGCAACTGGGATGGAGGAGGTAAGATGACCAAAAACACGTCGAAAAGGAAGGTCTTGAGACAAAGTTGAAGGAGGCAAGGCAGGAGTTGAGGCTGAAGGCCCGACCCCAATCATGGGACACAGGCAGGGCAGTGGATGTGGAGCAGACTCACAAACACAGAGAGACACACTCACAGGTACAGACAGAAACACACACTCACAGACACACACTCACAGATACACAGACACTCACAGACACAGAGAGTGACACACTTTCACAGAAATACACACATACAGAGGAGAGAGAGACACACAGACAATCTCAACAGCGGGGCTTCAGGGTGAACAAAACTAATTTCCCCCTCGAGTCTTCAGCCGCTCGGCCCATAGTATCGGCTTTGAGTAAAGAGCCGGCAGCAGGGTGCAGGGGACCGGGCTGAGCACACTGTGTTTCTACAGGTTTTTAACTGAGGGGTTGTTTGCAGTGGATTCCATGTTGACTTTTCTATTGGCCCAGGCTTTGAGCAACAATTGGACAAGATGGGGCTCTTTCGTCTTGAAAGATGTCGAAGAGGGATGTTATAGAGGTGTATAAAATTTAAAATCTGAATTGAAAAGTAGACCCAGAACAATATTTTAGATTCCACTAAGATAACAGAGCTGGAGATATGGGCTTGGAAAGGCCAATTTCAGAGCAAACACCACGTTTTCCTTCACCTAGAGGTAATGACTATAACAGGGCCCAGGAAGGATTATTGATGCTGTGGCAAGAAGATGGAAGGGTAGGTGTTATGGAAGGATGAGATCAAGGGCCGAAGGGCCTTCTACATCTGAACCAATATTGTGAAAATTTCATAGAATCATAGAATTATTCATTACAGAAGGAGGCCATTCAGCCCATCGTGTCTGTCCTGGCTCTTTTAAAAGAGCTATCCAATTCAATCCCACTCCCCCGCTCTCTCTCCATAGCCCTGCAAACTTGTTCTCCACAAATAATTACCTACTTCTCTCTTAAAAGTTGTTATCGATTCGGCCTCCACCACCCTTTCAAGCAATGTATTCCAGATCCGAACAACTCGCTGTGTGAAAAAATTTCTCCTCACCTCCCCTCTATTTCCTTTAACAACTATTTTAAATCGGCGTCCTCGGGTTACTGACCCACCCACCAGTGGAAATAGTTTCTCCTTGTTCATCCTATCAAACCCCTCATAATTTTGAAAACTTTTGAAAGTCCTCTGCCCTCCACCATCCCCAATCCCGAACCCCCAGCTCGGGTCCGAAAACACTCACTGTCTTGTGCCTTGGTATGTCCCCCTGACGTGAAAGGCGCTATACAAATGTAATTCTGTTGTTGTTTATATGATTATAAAGTATCTTAGGGTTCCCTTTCATATTACCCTCTAATCTTTTCTGATGCAATCTCTTTGCCCCTCTTATTTCCTTTTTCGGTTCTCCTCTGTACTCTCTATATTCTATTTGATTATCTGCTGTATTTTTTACCTGACATTTATCATAAGCTTCCATTTTCTGTTTTATTTTAATCCCAATTTCCTTAGTCATCCAGGGAAGTTTGGATGCCCTACCTTTCCCCTTTGTGGGACTGTGTTGGTTCTGTCCCTGAACTATCTCCTCCTTGAAATCTTCCCTTTACTCGTTAGTTGTTTTTCCCGCCAGTCTTTCTTTTCCAGTCCAGGTCTCTTTTTAACTCACTGAAAATAGTCCTCTTCCAGTTGAGCATCTTCATCTTTGATTGTTCCTTGTCCCTTTCCATAAGTACTCCAAACCTAATAATGTTGTGATCACTGTTGTCCAGATGCTCTCCTTCTGAAACCTGTTCCACTTGCCCCACTTCATTCCCCAGAACTAGATCTAACACTGCTTCCTTCCTCATTGGGTTGGATCTTCCTTCCTTCCTCATTCCTCACTACAACAACAACAACAAGACACTACTCTCTTGGTTTTGCATCTGTCTGAAATCTGCTTGCAGATTTGCTCATCTATCTCCTTCCCACTATTTGGTGGTCTATAGTATACACCTAATAGAGTAACATCTCCTTCGCTGCTCCTTAACTCTAACCAAATAGATTCTGTTTTTGGACTCTCTAGCACATCGTCCCTTTCCAGGGCCGTAACCATGTCTTTAATCAATACTGCCACCACTCTCCCTTTTTTCCTTCCCTATCCCTCCTCAATACATTGAGCCAGGAATATTCAGTTCCCATTCCTGCCCTTGTTTAGGCTGAGTCTCCATTATTACCACTGGATCATCCCATGTGGCAACTTGAGCCTGCAACTCACCAATCTTATTCATCACACTCTGTGCATTTACACACATGCACTCCAAGACTGACTTAGTCTGCTCTGCATTTTTCTCCTCTCTGCTCCCTCCTTTTTCTGAATTATTCCTTATTGCATTGCTATTCGTCTCTCCCATTCCTCTATGTAACTTGTTTCTCCTCTCTGATGCTAAATCCTGATTCCCTTACCCCCTCGAAATTAGTTCAAACCCTTCCCCACTGGACTAGTTAACTTCCCTGTGAGAACATTGGTCCCAGCCCTGTTCAGGTGTAACCCATACACCTTGTACAGGTCCAACCTGCCCCAGAACTGGTCCCAAAGTTCCAGGAGATTTGCAGAAGAATCAGGAGAAAGGTTGGAAAATAATTTCTTCACCCAGAACATTTGGTTGTATAGTTCATTATTACAAGTGGCAATTGAGCTTGCTCAATCAAATCATTCAAGGCAACGTGATAAGCACCTGAGCAGTAGAAACATTAAAGGAAATAGTAAAGAGAAGGGAAATGAGATTGATAAAAGTGCAATTCAAAGAAAAACAAGGCAGTAGTAGCACAGACACATTGGTAGCATATCCCAAACCTTCAGGGTATTGTGATGAGAGGCATTTATGTCTATAATTCCTCTTGCAATCAGAAGCAGGTTTGGGATAGACAGATAATTGGAAAGAATACCAGATAATAATAAATAATAATCCTTGCATTATCACACTAGCCAATAAGAGGGAAAGGAAACCACAGTTTGGCCACCACTGTTCTAATTTCTAAACAAATTAAGACCCTGACTTAGTTGTCAGCACTTTCCACTGTGGAATAGAAGGTTATGTGTTCAATGCCCAAGTTGGGACATGAGCTACTGTCAAAACTGACTCTCCAAGTGCAGCACTGCGCTGCCATATGGGAAGTGCCACTCTTCTTAAAAGGTATCAAACTGTATTCCTAATAACCTATTCTTCAGGTAGACCTTGAAAACCCCTAGGTACATGATTCAAAAAGAAAAAAAGTTTCTCACGGTTTTCTGGCTGAAAATCTCCCAGCTGAATTGGTCATTTACTTCATTGCTGTTTTGTGGGGTTTTGCTTCACAGTAAATTGTTGCAATGTTTGCTTACAAGGTCACTGTACTTGACCATAATTACTGGTGAAGCACTTTGAGGCATTACAAAAAATATAAGTTCTTTCTTTCTAAGGTATTGTCTTTGTTATGTCTCTTGGAACATACCTCCTCCATTCTTGTAACAAAGATAAGGGAATCGCCAAATATTTCCAAGTCCAATAATTCCTCCTGCCACAGAGAGGACAAACTCCAATTTGTTTCCCCATTGTTCTCTTTTTTTCATCATCCCATCTTTTTTAGTATGGCCATCCTGGGTCCAGGCAACCTCTCCTTCTCTAATGATATTTCTCTCCATTTTACCAGGTGCTTTCTTCTTCTGCTGAGAATAATAGAAAGAGTGACGAGAGATGATATGTACGGCAAACAGGTTCACAATTCAACTCTTAATCCAGCACTTTCAACACTTGCAAATTTGCAAATTCCTAAGGATTAATATAATTCACCATTACAGAAAGCAATCATTACAGCAGTACGTAATGATAAATCCAAACGGGGAAAGCACATTCTACAATTATGACATTTGTTTCATGGAAACACAAAACTTTGACCCCCACCCCATCCCCCACCCATCCAGCATGTAAATGCTATTTATCCTTTGAAATCAAGTTGCATTCCATTTCAAGATGCTCAGTGACACTTAGTTCAATGTAACAGAATTTTAAACTTGTAATACATGACAATCATTCCGTGTGATAATTGTTTGAAAAGAAGCCCAGAAATTGTTCTTGTATTGTTAAAGTGTGTATTACTCATTTCTTAGCAAATTCAGTACGATTATGTTTGGTGGTTAATTTAAGCAAGCAACGTGCCTTTTTGTTTCATACTCATTGACCTGAGGAATGTCTATTTCAGGTATCCAGTGTCAGGACAGCATTAAGCAATCACAGGGACAACAAAGGTTAGATAAATAGTTAAGCTTTCTCTACTTTCTTTGCAAATGTACAATTTTTTTCCTGTGTAATTTATAAAATGCTATGATAATAATCCTTCATTTGATATAACGCTTGATGTTATATTGAAATGTCTCAAAGCTCTTCATCGGATAAAGTACTGTGAAGTGTATTTGTAGACAAACATGTAGCCAATTCATGCACAACAATGTCTCACAAACAACCATTAATTTTATTTGGGGGATTGTTGACCGGAACACCAGGAGAAACCCCTTCTTTTTTTGAATCGTGTCAAGGGATCGTTAATGCACGTCTGAACAGACAGATGAGACATCAATTAAATGTCTCATCTGCAGGACAGCACCTCCAAAAATCTAGCATTGCAGTGGAGTGTCAGCCTAAACTATGAATTCAAAGGCTTGACGTGGGGTTTGAACTCACAACAACAAAATTACATTTGTATAGCGCCTTTCACATCGGGTGGATGTCCCAAGACAACCTTCTGACTCAGAGTCAAGAGTGGTACCAACTGAACCAGGGTAAGACACTACAAGTTTTTTAACTGAACAAAATTATCCAAAGCTATATTCTCAAAGCATCCTGACAAGTTGAAGCAACTGCATTTTTTCAAAAAAATGTAGCCAATTTTGTGCATAACAATGTCGCTCAAACAGCCATGAAGCAAATGACCAAATTTAATTTGGGGGATTGTTGGCCAAGGCATCAGAAACAATTCCCTTCACTTTTCAAATAGTGCTATGGAACCTTTCATGTGCAGTCAACTCTGCAGGCAAGCTGCTGAATATTGTAAGACAAATGTTGCATAAATGTTAGAAAAAAAAGGTGGCAGGTTAATGAGGAACTAAATCGAAAATGTAAGATTCCTTGACCAAAGCAACATTGTCCCCAGATAGTTGTATATTCAATCTCGATTCCCATAGTCCTAGATGCCACTCCAATGCAGGGCTGGGATGTGTTGTATTGTCGGATGTGCTGAGCTTCAGATGAGACATTAAACCGTGTCCTGTCTACCTATTCAGGTAGATGTTAAAGATCCTGTGGCTCTATTCAAAAAGAGAAGGGAGTTTCTCCCGGTGTCGTGGTAAATAATCCGCCAAATAAAATTTGTTATTCGTTTCATTGTTATTTGTGGGACATTGCTGTTAACATTTGGGATGTTGTGTTGGCCTACAAATACATAGTCACTCCACTTCAAAGAGAATCCTATGAAGTGCTTTCAGAAGTCTTCCTGACTTATTATTGTTTGAATTGTTCATTGTGTGTGTGGGAGGGAGGGGTGGGATTCTGCTTTGGGTCGTTCTTGTGCTGACTTTGTTTGATTACTGTTGAATCTTTAATCCAGAAATTTTTTTCAGATGCCAGATCTCTCTGATGAACACACTTCTTAAGAATACCAGAATAGGGTCATATAAAAAAANTCATTCCACCTGGTTATTTCACCTAAAAAGTTACATTTTAAAGTATATGAAAATTAATCCCGCATTACTATTTCTCTCATATCATATGATTGATTTATTCTCCAAATAACTATCAAATTCAAAAATCTAGATACTAATAAATAAATAATAAGCCTTGCATTCAGTATATCAAAGCAAAAAGATAGTCTGTAAAATGGAATGACTGCATGTTGTGGAGCAAATGCAATAGTCAAGTTGCATGTAGCAATGTACCACACACACCATTATGTGACAATTCTATTTGAAAAATTGTTGCCCAATCTATCAGAAGAAACTAACTTCTCTTTTAAGCTGTTAGATTGAGTAGAATATTGTACAAATTATAACACCTTATAGCAATTATAAGACAGTGGTTTAAAACGTTTATACTGTGGCTGTTGGTTTCAGGCACTGTGAGAAGCAGGCACAACCTTTACTCCTGATGTATGAGGTAAGGTCCACCTCGAGATAGGGGGAGATCCCGAGCCTGGCACCAGGACAATGGAATATATGCCGGAAAGCTTTTTCTTGTAGACTGGTTACACTCTCAAGGACAGAAGAGATACGGTTAAGCCAGTCTCAATTCCAGATGGACAAAAAGAAGAGAACCTCATTGATCAGGTTAGACAGAACAAAGGAAGAATAAAATTCTGGAGACAAAAATTGGGTGACCAATGGTAGAACATCGCACTGTGTCGATTTGCCTTCTACCTTCTGTTTTAAGCACACTCAGGTGATGTTCAATGGGAAACATACATTTTATCCGGTGATGACAGAAACGGTTGAGGAAATGGATATCACACCAGTAAATATCTCCACCATCATGGTTCCCAGAGGGCGATTTATTCCCCCTTTGTCTATGTCACTTAAGACACTAATCAGCAGACCGCATACCTCACAAGCCCATTTGACCTACTTCGCACAACGCACAGAGAGTTTTGCGGACCAGGTGGAATCACTGGGTGCCAAACATTGGTGGGAGGCAGTGTACAACATTAGTGAACACCCTTTCACCCGTTTATCATCTTACGTGTTTTTAATAATTCAATGTCTCGTGATTGTGTATGGCATCCTTATCACTATTTAGTTTCGCCGAACCATCAGACATATGGAGCACATAATGAAGGATCACAGTCTGCTCCATGTGCTGCGTTGATATCACTAATTGTGAGACCTCGGTTGCACCTTGGTCTCAAGGTGGGGACTGTTGGAATGTATATAAATGTATGACAAGTAACACACAGTGGTCGGCGAAAGGTTACCAGAGGTTAACTCCAAAGGAGCCACCTGCCAGACAAAGCGGTTTAAACCAGAAGGAGTTCAAGACCTTGATTGGCCTCCTTCTGTTAGATAAGAAGTACTAACTGAACGCATAGGATAGTGAAAAAACAGCCCAAATAAGGCAGACTAAAACTGGTGCAAACCGGCTCTAGATAGGGAGCCCACCAGAAAGACAATGGAAAAAAAAGGCATCTAAGCTTGGGCAAAGGGGGTGGTCTTTAGAGATCTCTCCAGCGCAGACTGCGGTTGTGGAACAGAAGGACTGGTAGTATTGCTCTGTTATTTTATGCTACATTAATTTTGTATAACTGACATTATTTGTATGTTTAATAAACTGTTGAAATCTGCCATTTTGGTTTGTCAAGATTGAACTTCTTTTCTGGGTGTGGGCTCGGTTGCAAACGAGTCCGATACTGCAACAAAATAGTGCCATTAACAAGTAGACGGCACATCGGTTTAACATCTCATCCAAAGTATGGCGTCTCCAACAATACAGCACACCCCAAGCACTGCATTGGATTGTCAACTCTGCAGTGGTGCTGCTGAATATTGAGTTCCAATATGAGGTTTGAACCTATAACCTTCTGACTCACTGGTAATGGGGCTACCAACTGGGCCAGACACTCACATTAACACACGCAGATCAATTTGAAAAGAGAAGGGAGTTTCTCCCAGTGTCCTGGCCAATAATTGCTCAAAAAAAATTGGCCATTCACTTCATGGCAATACACTTTACAGTGCATCTACTTTACAGAAACACTTTGAGATGTCCTTTCAACTTGAAAGACACTATATCAAATTCAATGATGGTAATTTTTAATATTATAATAATTGCATCTTGAATATGCTGCCACAATCTTTCTCCACTGTCAGGGTGCTGAGACTCTCGTAAATTCCTTCATCACCTCCACGCTTGATACAAGACATTTACAATACAATTTACATGCTGGTAAGACGTCTCAAAATGCTTTGATTCTTCCAACATTGGACTCCAAATTCCTCCCACCCAAGTTATGTAACTGGTTACCACTCTCTCACCAGTCAATCACCTCCATCCTCGATTAGCTCCACTGGCTCCACATTCCCTTAATGGATCGAATTCAAGATTCTCATCCTCATTTTAAATGCCTCCATATCCTCATTCCACTCTACATCAGCAACCTACTGCCCTGGCTATTCCTTACAGTCAACAAACACGGACTTGCTTCAGCCACCATCAATGGGTGTGCCTTGAGCCTCTCTGCCTGTGCTTTCTGAAACTCTATCCTGGAATCTCTCCACTTTACCCTCCACCACCTTCAAAATCTTCCTTAATACACTCTCTTTAACCATCCTCTTGGCCACTTTTTACCTTTCTTCAAGTCCCGCCATTTCCTCTTCAGCCCAACCCCAAGCTTGGGTTCACAGTCAGTTAAATTGAGTGTTTTGAGACATTATCTCAGCATGAAAGACACTATAAGAAATATAACTGTTGTATTTGTGGCCTCATTGAGCAGTTTATTCCACATATTCAACATCAAAGTCTGTTTATGTGGCTGCTGCAATCACAGAAAAGCTGTAACAGCAATGATCAGGTCTCCCAATAAAATCGAAGCTTTTTATGCACACTGGATCATCAAATACTTATGGTACATATAAACACAATAGTTTTGCTAAATGCAAACACCTAAACAGTGTATGCCATGAAGCATTTCAACACCTCAGTCTGCAATTTGCCGATAACATCCTGACACAGATTTATCCAGTTCTGCTTTAAATGAGCTAAACATGATCT